CCAAGATAGGGGTATTGGCCACTTTTTCCAGTTGCTGCTTCCCCCACTGATCTCTTCTTGCCTTCCCAGGACTCCCCAGCTCTCCTGGGACTGGACCCAAATGGGCCCATAAGACCCTGCTTATGTGTTGGCTCCAAATTCTGCCCCTAGCACCAACTCTTCCTAAAACCACACTTGGCTTTTCCAAGATGCACAGTTTGGTTTCATACTGGATGAATTACTGATGTTTCTCTTATTATGGTAGTGTAGCAAGTGTAATACTGTTCTTACATTGGTTAAGCAGCAGCAGAGTAACATTAGCTTTCCTGCTACAGGATACCTGAGGATCTAAATTACAATACTTTATTATATGTATTTGATGAGATCCTGTATTTCTTTATCATACTTTTATTGGCTATTGCCTTTTACCATGGAAAGCTAATACATGTTATCTTCAGTTAATTACTTTGTGCACATGCTTAAGGTATTGAAAATCTCCAGTCATCAGTAACACTAGATGCATAATTCAGGTTATAAGCGCACTGACTGAATATCTCTCAGTTTGTACATCCCACTGCAGGTAATTTTTGCCAGACTTCTGGAGAACTGCAGACCTCCAGCTTGCTAGTGTAACACCTAACTGCTCATCGGTCCTACTCTCAATCTCCTCATTATTTCAGTTGCACAGCTACGATAGTTAGATTCTGTATTTTTCAGGCTTCATAGACTAGCTTAAGACTACACTAAGCAGAGATGCAAAATTTCCTTTGTCTGTAGATCCTGGTTGTCTATGCCAGTCATTATTTTGCTCAAAAACAATACCAGGTGAGCTTTATTCCCTACTAACAAAGCTGCTTTGACCAATTTACTGAAGCTAAGCTGATACATGCTGAGTATTTGCTTAATGTTTAATGTTCTATCTAGAGCAAAACAATGTCTGAACTCTATTGAATCAGCACAGCTCTCCACCTTCCTGGGTATGATTGCACTTTCGTGCTAATCCTGACAACTGTGCTTGTGAAAGCTGTCAAGAAATACACGAAAACATACTATTCTGACTATACATACGCTAGAAGTGCTTCATAAACCTGTAAGTTGTCTTATTACAGAGTTGGAATCATGAAAAATTTGTATTTTTCTTGCCAGAAACATTACAGACCTGACTCCATTGCAAAGTTTTTCTGGCCCAGTTCTGCCAGCTGAGGAGGAAAGAAGTACATGCATGGTGACTACCCAGGGTGCAGGGCTGCTCTCCATCCTTCCTGTTGTCTCCCAGATTGCTTGCTCCTTTATGTAGATAATATGGATGTATAGTGCTGATTTTTTTATCTGTTTATTCAATACTAATATTGCTAAATTTCTAAAGGTCCCACCAAGACCCCATTGTTTTAGGTACACAACAGGTAAGCAACAAAATATCACCTGCTCCAAACAACTCATTATCTAAAAAAAATCTGGCCTGATTTCTAATCTTAATGGTTATTCTGGGTAACTCATTCAGGATTATGTCATAATGAATAGCCAGTTTCTTCAGCAGAATTGCCTATAAATGTCTAGTTGACATGGTATCTATGTGATGCCTTATGCCGATTAATTAGCATGGTTCAGTGATGTTTTATGTTTTTAGTAAATACATTAGTAGTCTTGCTGCAAAGGATATAAATGGGGGGAGGCTTAGCTACTTTTGATCATTATAGATGCAACATTGAGTTTTCCAGTGTGTGTGACTCCTGAAAGTATCATGAAATAGGCAACTTATTGAATGCACCAGCTCTGGGTGTTATTTGAAGCTGTTGTGTTTCACATATTTCTATGTGCTCATGCCCGCATTTTCTCTATTTTTAACTGGGTTTACTCATGCCTTTTGGAATTACTGCCATGCATAAAACAAGGTGCTCATGCTGTGGCCAACAATGAAGGAGCCACAGTGGGTTGGTGTGTCTTGCATACTTCTCTTGTGCTTTTGCTGCTGGTCACCTTGGAGACAAGAAGTGTCCTGGACTGGCCCCACAGTTGCTTTAACCAAGTGGCAGCTCCTACATTTTCTGCTTCATCTATAATTAGTGGCATTTCTTGAATAATCTGTGGTTATTCTGATGTGAGGCTTTTACCATAACCCACGATGGCAACGCATTCCCAAAGCTTCTATATTCCTCCAGGGATAATATTTAATATTTAATCTGGAAGTTTAGCAAACCTTATTCCAGTTCACCAGCAGTGGTGTGGGGGAAGTCCCAGAAGGGGAATAACTAGGGGAATAACTCTACTAGCTTTTCCCACGGCTGCTGCCGCAAATAGATGCTCCAAGAGGGCTGAGTGCGTATTTGCAGCCTTTTAACACAGAAGAATATTGAAATACCTCTAGAGATCACGGAGCATCTGCAAAGCCATATTTATCTTCAGCCATCCAGCCCTAATGTATTCTGAACTCTTCAGCTCTCCCCTTGGCCCAGGGCAATGACATGAAATAGTGCTGGGTATTAGGATTTTATACGTTTTCGGTTAACACTCCTGACTCCAGATAAAGTTTTAATTCTGCCAGCAGTGCTTCTGCTGCCCATCTTATTCTACTTTAAAATGCTCTTTTAAATGTTAGTTTAGTTGTTGCTAAACTAACAAGAATTGTCACAGTATTGGAGTGTGTATGTTCCCATAGTGTTCATACTACAAAAGACAGCAGTCCCGTTTTCAGTTCTTCACCAAAAGCCTTTTTCCTCTTAATACTACTATCCTCTTAGTAGTCATCAGCAGACAGATTTCTTTCTTAATAGCTATCTTTATGTTTCATAACCTGTAAAAAGCAGATTTTCTTTCATGCTTACCATGTATACGGTCCTTGCTTGTATTTCATGCCAGCACCTGGTACTACTAGGTAGTAGTTTGGTTGGTCCCAGAACCAGCATCACCTGGTCTCTGAGGGACTTACATCTTATGTTGAATGAGCTGGTGCCTAAAAAGATGGAGAGTCCAGACTGGTGTGTGATAAGTAGTGAGTTTACCTCCGAGCCCATACTTAGTGGTGGTGATGTTAGGTTTTCTCTCAGTTCTGCTCAGTTACCTATTCACGTTAAACCTGTAGGAACTAATATCTCTGGTCGGTCTGTGTCAGATTAGATTTGAATTGGATCAGTGTGCCCAAACATTATTGATGGGGAACAGAGAAAGATACACACTCCTTGACTTCCTTATTCTCTTCTTATTGTCTTCTAGAGACAAGGCTAGAAATTCATCTACAGTTGGATCTGCTTGATCTATGGGTGGTTAATAATAATGACAATTTGCAGTGTGTCTTTTATTTTTTTTAGTATCTCAGGCAAATCTCATGCTTTGGGGAATACACATTATAGGAATCATGAATAATAAGTAGATAGTTCATTATTCATATCTGTCTGCTGGGGGAAAAAATGTCACAGAGGGAGTAGGTGGCTGGACCAACTTTTTGT